GTTCTTTTGAGCCAGCCTTATATTTAAAGGGTTCACAAAGAAGGATTTCTCGGGCTAGCATCACATCTTTTTGTTCTGTCCACTCCATCTACAAAGTGAAGATAAACGATATTTGAAAAATAACTCGATGGAATTAAACCTTATACTAATAAAAATAACGAAATAATTTAAGTTTATAAACTTTCCCTGCTTTGAAATGTCAAATGTAAAGGACAGAAATCATTTTACACGTAAAACGTGTATGGCTTAAGTAATTAATTGGATTTTTAACGAAAGTTTGTATCACAACTCATTGAGAAAAAATTAAAAACAGGTGTATTTATTTTATACTGCCAAGATTACACACACAACTTATCACAATAAGCATAGATTTTGAACAGAATCTCAGCGCACTGCGTTTTTCATTCGACACATTGATCGGCCGCTTACACTGTAAATGCAGAAGTTTTGCCTCCTATTTTGCTAAAGTATCGTAAAGAGCATTCTGCGAAGAATGCAATAATCTCGTATGTACAAGAAATAAAACTCAGGCGAGAAAATTTGGTAGCGCGAAGTTTGTTAGCTTGTAAACATTGCAAAATAGACGTACACACTGTTCGAATACAAATTCCTCTGAGTCCATTAAAAAAGCCTCTATGTTAAACGAAATACCAAGAAGAAGGGTTTGCCAGAATAAATCAGTGTTATTCAAGCTATAGCAATCTATCGGTTGTACTCGTTGAGAAAATCGGAAAAGAAAAGTAATTATACCACGCGGCATTACATTGAATGAAAGCAACCTGCTCGCTGAAGGCTAGTTTGACATGCGAAGAACAATTTTTCCGTAAAAAAAAAATGAGTCCAAGAATACTTACAAAACATTGTTTTAAGCATAAAGGCAATCATTGTGCATAGTTCGGTATCAAAATAGCACAAAAGTAAGCTAAAAGGGATCAAAACAAAAGATTAAGTACTCACGTTTTCGTCGCGACGTGAAACCCCACGTTCTCACGTTCTCGACTTCAGGACAACTTCATGTCACAACGTATTGTACATGCGCAGTGACATCTCCAAAGAAATGTCACGTTTCCGGTTGCCGTCGTGAGGCCGGCGACGTCTGTTGCTTAAGGTGCCTACTGATTGGTGGTCGAGACTTTCAAGCACAGAATGTTTTGCCTCGGCTTGGTGAACAGAACAAAGCTGGTCGGCCTTCCAGCAACTGAATGCAACTGTTATAAACAAAGTACGTACAACCTTCGTGAGGCTCGCCATACTCAACGAGCTTGTCGACAAGCTTTGCCAAGTCACCGAATGCTTGGGATCCCCGTGCTGAAAAGTTGTCAAGACCCTGAAGAGACTTCCGCGTCGAAGCTGAACATACATTCAAGATCCTATGTAGCGTTCTCCTGCTCAGGCATGTGAAGCTGGTCTCAGAACTACCGTGGCCCATATAGGACATCAACAATATTTCTTTTCTTCAGTTGAAATTTTCATCTTAATGTTTGTCACAAAATGTGAGTTGTTAAGTCTTTTCAAATAAACAACGGATTTTTTTCTGGAAAAATCCGAGTTGTTAATTTTTCAATTACACAACTCGGATTTTTACCACCGCAAAAATCCGAGTTGTGTAATCTCTTAAGTACACAACTCGGAAATCTAACGCAAAAATCCGAATTGTTAATTTTTCAATTAAAGAACTCAGTTTTACCGCAATAATCAGAGTTGTTTAATCTCTGAAATACACAACTGGGATTTATAACGCACAAATCCGAGTTGATTTGTCAATTAAACAACTCGGATTCTTACCGCAAAAATCCGAGTTGTTTAATCTCAAAAATACATAACTCGGATTTATAACGCAAAAATCCGATTTGTTGATTTGTCAATTAAACAACTCGGATTTTTGCGTTATAAATCCGAGTTGTGTATTTTAAAGATTAAACAACTCGTATTTTTGCGGTAAAAATCCGAGTTGCTTAATTGACAAATCAACAACTTGTATTTTCGCGTTATAAATCCGAGTTGTTTAATTGACAAATTAACAACTCGGATTTTTGCGTTATAAATCCGAGCTGTGTATTTTGGAGATTAAACAACTCGATAAAAATCCCACTTGTGTATTTTGAAATTAGACAACTCGGATTTCTAACGCAAAAATCTGACTTGTAGTATTAAATGATTACACAATACCAATTTCGTAACAAACAAATGAGATAAAAATTTCAATCGGAAAAAAAATTGTTGATGTCCTGTATGGGCCACCGTACAGAACAGTACTGCTAGTATTGCTGGACGATTCTCTCAGGAATCATTGTTCTAATAACATATGGAGTTGTTATTTCCTCTCCAGTTGACAATTTTATAATCTTTTCACCGAAAGGAACATCCTGGATGATGTGAGGGCTGGTAATGAAGGAGATGAAATGCTCAAACTTTGAATGGTGTACTCTCAATCTGTTATTAATGTTAACAGAAATTGGAGCACCCCTCCCATGTAACAGCCGATGTCGCCTTGCTATATTGTAACGATATGTTGTGATTGTTGGTATCAACTTTCTCAACTCGTTAAGAGAGAGTTTGTCTGCCATTAACGACAGTATCTGCCTGCGGGTACTCCAGTGCTGGGCATTTAAGTAGCTTTCGCCTAATGCTTCAAGAACTTCTAACTCTCTTTGCCTTTTTTCGAGAACCTGTTCGTCGGTTTCCTTACCAACGCCAAGCATATGGCGACTGCTTAATTCTGTCAACAATTCACCTGAAGCTTCTGGTGCAATGACGTCTAACACTGCTGAAATTGGTTGTTCTGCCTTTCGTAAATAACGGCGTTTCGTGCGTTCACTGGCTTTTTCCCACGAAACTGACAAAACACTGCGTACCGGACTGATATCACGAAGTTTCAGAAAACGATTCAGCTGTTGTTGAGGCCCCTGGACATTAGTAGAGGGGCCTGGGCTTTCTTCACTCTCGTCAGAATCTTCTGGAGGTAGGTAGAGACGCTGGCGCTTGGACGTAACGACTGCTGCTTGAGTTTTATCTTGCTCGCCTAAAGTTATAGGATCAGCGGGAAGAGATTTGATTGCAGTCACATTGCTGGAGGATGCAGTTTATCGCCCTAGTAAACAAAGAAGTGTAATCAAGCCAATATAATTATACAAAAATTAATAATAATAATAATAATAATAATAGTTAAAATGATTCTTATTCGTAGCCACCTTAACACAAAAGACTACTAAAGACTCTTACCAAGTTAAATTTCCTCAAACAATCTGTCATACTTTCAACCTCTTTTGGTGTCGTCTTATGTGACCCTTCAACTAGTGTTCCAAAAGACTTTTGACATCGCACGCAGATTCCTAACAGGTGTAAAATTAATGACAATAGGTTGGAATGATTGTTTTAACATCAGACCAGGATACACTATTAAAGTAAATGCCCTGGTTATAATAAGCCTCTACAAAATTTAACGGCCCGCACGCACCCTGGTTTCTTTAGCTTGTCCTTGACGGTATTCAAGATACCAGCGCCACCCATTTCCACACCTACTTTCCTTTAACGCAAACAGCCGAATATAAGTGAACAATTACATGTTGGACGTTGCACATGAGTGAGTAAATAACGAAAGCAACCTCCTGCCTCCGTGCTTGCATGCGACAGCAAAAAACCCCGATCACTGGGGGTGAGGAGGGGGTGTTGTTTTGAAAGGAAGGGAACAGAAATTTCCCCCAACTCTACAGTCTATCTTAGGTTGCAACACATTGAAAACCTTACCAGATCCGACAGGGAGTAGAACATTTGTGACTTCATATATCTTCCTTGATTGACGTAAACTAAGTCCTCGCTCCGCTTTTAGTGGTCCTCTCTCACTGTGACCTGATACGTTTGCAGGAACGCAACACAACTTGGAGCTTGGTCTCCAGCCGATTCCAAGACTTGGACGTTGATATGGGCAAATGGTCATTTGGGAAAAAAGAGCAGGTTTCTCGAAAATCCCACATGTCTTTGTTGCACAAGAATAAAGGTAGTGCAAGCGATGAGCGATTTCTGCTCCGTTCTTCCTCGCTTCAAACTCCACCAGCTATCTCAAAGAAGGAACAACACATGTTCTTGCTGCAGTACTGAAATCGACAATTTCGTGATACTAGAGACTGTACGTGTTCGCTTGATAATTTAATTTTATTGAGTAGCCAAAAGAATGATTCCCACGGTGAAAAATTAAATCTGGTCAACTTCGTTACTATACTATTTTTGACTACGAATGGAACTCTGACTTTTGCTATAAACCGACGGATGTAGAACAGGATCTTACAGTCAAACCAGGTCAAGCGTTCCCGTCGCTAACGAACTAATGAATTCATTAACGAAAAAATGATTTCGTGTGTTGACTCAATAATCCATTCATAAAATGAACAATCCAATATTCATATTTAGCCTCGATTCCATAACCGAATGTTGATTCGATTACTTTTTTTTGAAAAACTACAATTTCCACAAGTCGACCTCAGAATTGTGTTTTTCTTCCTTTTTTTCTAAGAGTCGAGTGCGGGCGACTTCTGAAGTTCAAACCCAAACAAAGTGTTTCATGTACGCCTTTTTGCTGCCAGTAATCAGTGCAACAGACCTGACCTCTTAGAAAACACGACGGTCAAACTGAGGTCAGTGTATGAGCGGTGATTGGTGGATTTCGATCCTCGGCCTTTTTCAGTTTCTTTGCGTTTGCGGTCTGTCTATTCTAGCTGTTATTTTGATTAAAGGCAATGAAAAACGCAATCGTAAACGGCAGGAAAAGGGAAGCAAATACGATTGAACACAACAGACGAGAATGAAGAACAGGTAGATTTTGTTCATAAACCAAATCAATATTTCATTATTGAATCGAGGTCCAATTTGACTGTTGGGTTATTCATATTATGAATGGATTAGTGAATCAACAAACGAAATCATTTTTGCATTAATGAATTCATTAGTTTGTTAGCGACGGGAACGCTTGACCTGGTTTGACTGTAATTTTTGTAGATCTTTTTGTGGCTGCCTTTTGTTTTATTCCGCCGTCCAACAAAAATCACAGTTCCCGCGAAAAGTAAGTGTATGTGGTAAACAGCTAATTAAAAGTCAATATGGATACCAAACGAATATTACACATATTTCACTTTAAGCTTTCGACTGTATAATATACTAATCAAACTGCATGACTCAACACTAAGCAGCACACATCATGGCGGGTTCCAGCGACAACGTTATTTCTAATAGAATTGTGGGTAATGACAGCTTTCTCAGAGGGTACTCGATATATTACACTACTTCTCCCCATACGAGAGATACAAACAACAACGGTACAGAAACATAAACAGCAGCAAAAGCTACAGATTAAGTTAGTCAACTGGTTTGTATTTCTCAACGATCTCCTCAAAATAACTGGCGATGATTCTTTACAAGGACTAGGTTCTGATTCCTCATTGGTAGGCTGCGATACATCATTATAAACTAATTCAGTGTCCAGAACCGGAACAGACTGGTCACGTAACTCAGGAACTGGTATCTTAATTCCACTAGCTTCATCTGGCCCTTTATCATGAGCCCTAATTAAATGATCACCATGAACGTAACTAGTCTTATGTCCAGTGTTCGCTAATTAAGTTCTAGGTCCACACACCTTAACTACCCTTCCCAGGATCCACCTCACGATATTGCCTTTGGCTTGAGTGTTCCTTACCCGAACTAAGTCATTTTCTGAAAACTGCCTATCCTTATGCTTTTTAAATCCTTATATTGCTTCTGTTTGCTCTGTTTATTCTCAATCTCTTGGGCTAGGTCAGGTTTCACAAGACTTAAGCGAGTACGCAGACGGCGTTTCATTAACAACTCAGCAGGCGTTGCACCCGTGGTGCTGTGTGGCGTTGTGCGGTATCTCAGGAGAAAATCAGCTAGTGTATGTTCCATGGGCCTTGCCCTATTGCCTTTCAAAACCTGTTTATACTAAAGCGTCCTTCACCACCCTGACCGATCGTTCGGCCGCCCCATTAGATTGAGGGTGAGAGGGTGGCACTAGGGTATGTTTGATCCCATTTTTACTCATAAATTCGGCAAATTCGTTGGAGGTAAACTATGGTCCATTATCCGATACCACTTCCTCCGGCAAGCCGTGTTGGGCAAATATGAGACGTAGCTCACCAACGGTACGCTCTGTGGTAGTTGAGGACATATGTCTTACCTCGAGCCATTTAGAATGACTATCGATCACGACTAAAAATTGATCGGGCCCCTTTTGACAAAAATCATGTGAATGCGCTGGAAGGGTCGGGTAGCCCACTTACAAGGTATCAAAGGAGCACTGGGTGGGGAACTCCTTACATTCTGGCAAACTGTACACAATTTCACTTCCTTCCCGATTTCGTCATCCATCTTTGGCCACCAGACACATGTGCGGGCTATGGCCTTCATTGCACAGGTGCCAGGGTGTTCTCAGTGCAATTCTTTTAACATTTTCTCCCTAAACACTTGGGGAATAATCCTTCTAGAGCCCCACAAAACACAGCTTTGTTCACAGGAAAGCTCCTGACAACGAATGTGATAGGGTTTTAGTTCTTCTTCATCACATTTTTCTGGCCATCCTGTCATGACAAAATCGAGTACTCCACTAAGCAATGGCTCCAGCACAGTGGCCTTCCCAGTATCCTTTTCTGTTATTGTGAAGACCTCATCAGTAGCGCTCACACTATAAATCTTACTTTCACGCCTTATCATTGAGTCCTCATGGAGCAACCGGGAGAGTGCATCAAAATTACTATGTTTTTCTGACCTTCTCTACTCAATTTGATAATCATATGCAGAAAGGACAATGGCCCATCGCTGCATACCGGCAGCCGCCATTGTGGGAATGGCTGCTTTCACAGGACGAAATTTCAAGAATCCGTAAATGGAAACTTAACGTAAACACGTAAAACCGTTGCGCAAACATGACGGTAATCACATGTTTCCGTTAGTGGATACATTACGTTTACCCGTGTTTCCGTCGCTGCGGTTTCGGCGGAATCGTACCACTTTTTTATACGTTTCCGTCACATTTCCGTCTAAGGAAACACGTGTTTCAGGAAGCATAAATGCGTGGCATCCTTGCGGAAACACGCGAAAACGTTCCGGAAACAAGTCAATTTCATGTTTCCGTCAACGTAATCGGATGTAACTATTGCGGAAACACGAGTTTACGAGTCGGAAACTGGTGTTTTCAAGTTATTTCCATCGTGGAAAAAGAGCTTTTCACCATGCTGGGTGGTTTTGCCGCCATCTATAGTAACAAAAACCCATTCTCTCGACATTTTTATTGCACAAAATAATACCAAAGCAATCTTTCCAAGTACTTTCTTTATTCTCCTTGCTTCCAAAATTGACAATCAGGTCTTCTTATGGTATTTATTTATTACATTGCTTAAGTTAAATTACATTTTAAGTGTGAGTGCCTATTCACACTAGCAATGAACAAGAATATCAAGAGGCTTCCTTTAAGAAATCCACTAGACATTTTCTGTAGGACAACGTAGTGTTTTTTTTGGTAAAGAAAATGTCAAATCTGTTAACAAATTAATATCCTTTATAGCAGATAGTGATAAACACTTTCATGTGCAGCTTATGGCTAGTGATAGTTTTGGTTGTCTATAATATTTCAACAAAGTGGAATATGATTTGTCCTGAGCAGGACTGTTGTTGAGAGCGACTAACGTTTTGACAACAAGGTGATCATCATTTTCATGGGCATTGTCAAAACATCAGTTCCTGTCAACAGTCCCACTTAGTACTATACTAACCTGTATGATCATATACCACTTACTCATATGACCATTCTGCTTCAGGATAATATTATATTGTGTCAGGAAATATTCTTACTCTTCTGACATGGTGGTCTAAACTACACAATTTTCTATGACCAGGGCAAAGATTCAAATGCAAAAAAATACATCAACAAACAAAGTATGGCTACAGTTTTACATGTAATACAAGTCTGCTAAAACCGTTTATGTGTTTCATGTATACATTTTAGGTCACTTCTATGCTGAAGTCATTACTTAGAGTTATGAAGAAGATACATTCATCAAGCCAATTTCATAAGGAAGCACAAACCAGGGCAAGGACTGGGCTGGTGATCTGTCACTAGTGTAAACTTTCGTCCATATAGGAACTGATGAAATTTTTTAACCCGTTACACAATGGACAAAGCTTGGCGTTCTATCTGTGCATAATTTCTCTCGCTTGAGCTTAGAGTACCGGAGGCATAGGCTATATATCGGCCTTTTTTGATCGTCATCCTTAATATGACTTAACACTGCTCCTAGGCCATAACTTGATGCATCACAGGCCAACCTTAATTCCCAATTCAGGTCATAGTGGATTAACAATGAATTACCAGTTAGGCCCTCCTTACAGGCTTCAAAAGCTTTCTGGCAGTCGTATGTCCACTCCCACTGCATGGCCTTTTGCAAAAGTTTATGCAAGGGTGCCAACAATGTGGCTAGCCCTGGCAGGAAAGAATGATAGTATTGCACCATGCCTAGGAAAGATCTCAGTTCACTTACATTGCGAGGGGTGGGTGCTTTCTTTACTGCATTGATTTTCTCTTCCACTGGTTGCAGACCTACCTCACTGATTTTTAGGCCTAAGTAGACCACTTCAGGTTTCAAAAACTCACATTTGGACAGTTTCAAATGCAAATTGCACTTGTGTAACCTGTCCAAAACTTCTGCAAGTATCTTAAGATTCTCTTGCCAGTCATTCCCACCTACCAAAATGTCATCCTGCTTACATACACATTTCTCAATACCCTGGAGAATCTGATCCATTTTTGCCTGAGATATTTTTGGGGATGAGTTGACACCATAAGGTAGTTTCAAATAGGAATACAGACCTTTGTGGGTGCTAATAGTCAAATACTCTTGACTTTCTTTGTCAACATTCAGCTGTGCATACGCATGTGATAAATCGAGTTTGCTAAATACCTTNCAATGAATTACCAGTTAGGCCCTCCTTACAGGCTTCAAAAGCTTTCTGGCAGTCGTATGTCCACTCCCACTGCATGGCCTTTTGCAAAAGTTTATGCAAGGGTGCCAACAATGTGGCTAGCCCTGGCAGGAAAGAATGATAGTATTGCACCATGCCTAGGAAAGATCTCAGTTCACTTACATTGCGAGGGGTGGGTGCTTTCTTTACTGCATTGATTTTCTCTTCCACTGGTTGCAGACCTACCTCACTGATTTTTAGGCCTAAGTAGACCACTTCAGGTTTCAAAAACTCACATTTGGACAGTTTCAAATGCAAATTGCACTTGTGTAACCTGTCCAAAACTTCTGCAAGTATCTTAAGATTCTCTTGCCAGTCATTCCCACCTACCAAAATGTCATCCTGCTTACATACACATTTCTCAATACCCTGGAGAATCTGATCCATTTTTGCCTGAGATATTTTTGGGGATGAGTTGACACCATAAGGTAGTTTCAAATAGGAATACAGACCTTTGTGGGTGCTAATAGTCAAATACTCTTGACTTTCTTTGTCAACATTCAGCTGTGCATACGCATGTGATAAATCGAGTTTGCTAAATACCTTTGAACTGACAAGAGAAATGTACAAATCCTGAGTAGTGGGCAAGACATATGGCTCATCCTCCACTGACTGATTAATGGTCGCCTTATAATCTCCGCAAATTGTCACGGTGTTGTCGGACTTTGGCACTAACACAATTGGGCTTGCCCAACTCGACTTGTCAGTTTTCTTAATCACCCCATGTGTCTCAAGTTTGTCTAACTCTTTCTCTACTTGCACCTTCAGAGCATAAGGGACTCGACGTGCTTTCACGAAGATAAGGGACCTTAAGCAGCGACGACGACGACGGATTGTACCGCGTAGAGACTGGCACAGAATAGCTTGTTCACGGCAAGGAAAAGGCGGGAAAATAAAAACTTAAGCTTTGCTCGACGTACGACGTGAACGTAAACAAAAGCGCTGCAGTTTTTTGGTAAAATGGTTAATTTTCATGAGCTTCAAGAGCTTTTTCTCCTAAGTCACGCTCATGGCATTTTGGATGACGAAGAGCTGCTGATTTTGTACGGAGTATTGGCCAAAAAATCCCGATTTTTGCTATGAGAATTACGAAAGGTTTTCTCTTGATGATATGAACGAAAACACGATCTTCTACTTCTCGCCGAGGTCCTTCAAATACCAGACAGTTTTACTTGTTACCAAAGAACCGTAACAAGTGGAATGGAAGGACTTTGTGTTCTTCTTAGAAGGTTATCTTATCCCTGCAGACTCAGTGATATTATTCCACGATTCGGCAGACCAGTACCAGTCCTTAGTATGGTCAGCAATCAAGTACTTGACTATATATATGACATTCACGGCCACAGAATCACTCAGTGGAATCACCAAATTCTCTTTCAGCCCTTGCTGCAACTGTATAGCGACACTATTGCTGCCCAGGGTTCTGCCCTAGACAACTGTTTTGGCTTTGTTGATGGGACTGTTCGTCCAATTTGCAAACCTGGAGAACATCAAAGAGTGGTATATAACGGGCACAAAAGAGTACATACTCTGAAATTTCAGTGTGTTGCCCTTCCCAATGGTCTGATAGGTCATTTATATGGACCAGTAGGTATGAAACTGTTACCTTTGATTTCTTCTGCTTTGATGATTAGTTTTAATTTTTTTTTCTAATTTTCAGAAGGAAGAAGACACGATGCAGGCATGCTTGCAGATTCAAGACTCCTTAATGACCTCCAAGCTTTTGCAAACTCCCCTTTTGGAAATCCATACTTCATTTATGGTGATCCGGCATACCCTTTAAGGATACACCTTCACGCCCCTTTTAGGAATAGAGTCTTAACCCCTCAAATGATGGATTTCAATCAATCGATGAGTAGTGTCAGAGAATCAGTAGAATGGCTATTTAATGATGTTACAAACTACTTTTAGCTTCTGGACTTAAAAAAAAAATTGAAAATTGGTCTCAGTAGTGTGGGCAAAATGTATGTAGTCAGTGCTCTCCTAAGAAATGCCCTTACATGCCTCTATGGAAAACAGACCTCCAGTTTATTTCAACTGGATCCTCTTTCACTTGAAGACTACTTTTCCTAATTACTCCACATCTTTTGATATTACTTTTAAAATTGGGTCACGGCAGCTGGAAGCTGCATATGCTCTCCAGTACCCAGAAACACCACCTGGGATTTGTGTAAGTTGAAAAACTAAGAGGATAATGTGATAAAACAGCCTAAGTATGAAGGAAGCTAAACTGACATTTTCAAGAGGGGAGGGCACAGGGCAAAGACCTGTAATCAGAAAACCACCCATGGTAAGGGGGAGGGGTGTGAATGATTTTTCTCCTTACTAAAATTATAGCTAGTTGCACTAGCAAGAAAAGATCAGAATAGAAACACAACAACGTGGATGCAAAACAAATGTTAATCTGTTCTGTTGTGATGTCACTAAGATGCTAGTTCTACTTAGACTTGAGGCTGAAAACATAAGCAGAAAAAAAATATCCAGATGTAGACAAGTGAAGCACAATTTAATATACCACATAAAGTAGCAAGTTTCCTGCAGCACAAAAAATATGCAGAGAAAAGTAGTTTAAAACTTTTGAAAACTTGAAATTCTTTATTTGCCCACACACTTTAAGTAAAAAAGTTTAACAAAATATGGGTTTCGCAAAGGGGAGGGGCCAGTGTCTTTTTAATCAGTCTAAAACTAAGACACATGAACATGTGTGTTATTTCTCCCACTAAGAGTTAGTACAACACATTAATTAAACACAACGTTTTCAAAATGTTGACATTTGTGTCAGTCACTGTGTGCAAATAGACTTTTCTCCAACTACGAGTTTATACATGTTAATTAAACACAACGTTTTCAGATGCTGACATTTGTGTCAACCACTTTGTGCAAGTAGACTTTTCCAATAAAGCCACCAGTGACTGATTCTGTTGTTGTAGCATCTTCATTTCTAACTGCTGCTTGTGCATGACTCTGTCGGTCCACCAACATCTGCTGCTTAGTTTTCTTGAAATCCATTTCTTCCCTGCTGAGCTGACTTTCCAACTCGAATTTCTCTTTGAGATATTCAACAGCATCTGAGTTTCTTCTCTTTCCTTCTTTACTGGGTTTTCCTTCCTCTGAATCTGCATTTCTTTTTTGGGTTTTACCAAGGCGTTCCATGGCTTGGCGCCTAACCTCTTCAGCACTCGCCTTCTCTCTTTGTTCCTTTAAGGTTTGGGTACCACTTTGCTCATTTCTTTCCATGTCAGCTGCCTTTTCCTTCTCAAGAATCTCTTCAATTGCTGCATCTAGCGGAGTCTCTTCACAATCTATGCCAGATGCTTTTTCTTCTTCCCTTATTTTTCCCTTGTACTTGGTCTGCAATAAAGTAAGTCTGTCTCTGACTGATCTCTTTGACACTTTGAACGATGGATTTTCCAGACTGTTGAGATTGACCGCTATATTTGACCAAACCTCTCCCCTCTCTTTACTATTTTTTGGATGCTTGAAGGGCTCCTGTAATAGGACTTCTCCACAAAGCGTTAAGTCATGTTCCACAGTCCATTTCATGGAGTTGTTCCTAAAGAAGAGAGTTGTGACTTTAGAAGAGAAAAACCTTTATACCCTTGGGCGACAACAATACGTANGGTTTTCCTTCCTCTGAATCTGCATTTCTTTTTTGGGTTTTACCAAGGCGTTCCATGGCTTGGCGCCTAACCTCTTCAGCACTCGCCTTCTCTCTTTGTTCCTTTAAGGTTTGGGTACCACTTTGCTCATTTCTTTCCATGTCAGCTGCCTTTTCCTTCTCAAGAATCTCTTCAATTGCTGCATCTAGCGGAGTCTCTTCACAATCTATGCCAGATGCTTTTTCTTCTTCCCTTATTTTTCCCTTGTACTTGGTCTGCAATAAAGTAAGTCTGTCTCTGACTGATCTCTTTGACACTTTGAACGATGGATTTTCCAGACTGTTGAGATTGACCGCTATATTTGACCAAACCTCTCCCCTCTCTTTACTATTTTTTGGATGCTTGAAGGGCTCCTGTAATAGGACTTCTCCACAAAGCGTTAAGTCATGTTCCACAGTCCATTTCATGGAGTTGTTCCTAAAGAAGAGAGTTGTGACTTTAGAAGAGAAAAACCTTTATACCCTTGGGCGACAACAATACGTATCCATCACGATGAAATGACCTAGATAAGAGCTAATTAGGCTTCAAACAACTCTGCTTGTATATATTTTTATTACTCCTCAATAATTCTGACTGTTATTCCATGAGACTATAACCATCTATGAATAACAATGTTTATTTCTAAAATTTAAAAATTAGAATAAATACGTGAATGATCTTCCGGACTGTCATCTGGCAAGAGATATCATTCTTTATGCGGACGATACTGTACTCTATGACTCATCCAAAAGCGTCAGTGATCTTGAACATCACATCAATGCTGACTTGGGGACAGTGTCTGAGTGGTTCTCTAGAAATCTCCTGACACTAAATATATCCAAATGTAATTTTGTTGTCTTTGGGAGTCCTCAGAAACTGAATCGTATTCAAGGCATTTCGGTTAAAGTACAGGGCACTAGTGTTGAAAGAACACAATTATTCAAATACCTAGGCGTCACGCTTCAACCGTCTATGTCCTGGGCAGATCATGTCGATGCTATCAGCTTGAAGATTAATCAGAGAATAGGCCTAATTAGGAGAATCAGGAATCTATTGCAGCTACAAGCTAGAGTTGCCTTGTACAGTGCCCTAATCCTCCCTCTTTTTGATTACGGAGACGTTATATGGGGGGACAAGAACAATGACACCATCATGTCAGAATTACAGATTCTACAGAATAAAGCTGCTAAAGTTATGCTGGGGCAACCACCCCGAAGCTCGTCAACTGAAGCACTGAAGAGCACTGAAGGTTTTTTCATCGCTGCATTGCAATCCACAAGTGTCTTATTGGAGAAACCGATTTCAACTTTAATTTTACTAAAACTCAAGCTGTTCATTCATATAACACAAGACGCTCTACTGATATTCGCTTACCCCTACCCAGAACAAACTGGGGTAAACAAACTTTTATTTTTCGCGCCACGAAAGACTGGAACAGCCTTCCAAATGATTTAAAAGAGTGTAATATTTTATCTATTTTTAAATCCAAGTTAAAAACTTTTTTAAACGATCTCAGCTAATTTTAAACCTTGATATTTTTTGTATAATCGATTTTAAGATTTTAAATGTTTAAATTTGTTTTACTTGTAAACATATTTTACTTTTTTCGTGATAATTAATTAATTAGTTAGATTAATGCATGAGGGCCCCACTGAAAACCGCCTTGGCGAGTTGGGCTCCCTCTATAAATATTATTATTATTATTATTATTATTATTATTATTATTATTATTATTATTATTATTATTATTATTATTATTATTATTATTATTATTAATAGTCTCTATTATCACAGTCTTTGCTGGTGTACTTTTTGTGCATCAGCCGGGCGCAAACCATGCACCTAGAACGTCAGTCACTCAAGTCAATCATTCTGTTCATACACTGAGCACCTTTCTAAGGATTCGTGCAGATCCCAGCATGCAGATCTTGTGAATCTCTGTCATAGTAGCTCTCTCTGATACTTTCTTGATGTTTTCTACCATACCCTTCTTCACTGTACCAAGCGCACCAACAACCACAGGGATCACTACGGTTTTCATATGCCACATTCTCTGTATTTCTAGTTCTAGGTCTTTGTACTTGCATTTTTTTTCAGTTTCCTTCAGTGCGATGTTTCTATCTGATGGAACAGTCATATCAATAAGTTTGCAGGTGGAATTCACTGAATCTTTAACGATGATATCTGGTCTGTTCGCTGTTATAGTTCTATCAGTATTGACTGGCATGTCCCACATGATGGTGATG